TATATGTTTATTAGTGAAAAAGGTAAAAAAAAAAAAGTTAAAAAACAGTTTGTTTCTCCTGCCATGCCATCGTACGCATATTCCACATTATCAACTAATAGGCGTTGTTTGGATGAATTAAAATTTATTTAAAATTTTAGCCTACCCCTGTTTGGATAAATTAATAAAATCTTTGGTTACATAAGTAGTTGGTAATACTCTAGGGGGTCGTTTACTTCACGGGTTTGGGACAGGATAAGACAATTAGTCCCGGCTATCCGACATTTACTTGCGCGAATTGGGATGGGATTTTAATGACGTGGCGCATACGTGGCAACCTTCCATCTGTCACTTTTGAATAAAAAAATCCCACCATGGGGCACTGACTGAATAATCCCGTTTTTTGTATACCTTTCTTACCCTGAAAAGGTGCTGCTAAAAGACCAAAATACCCTTTAATTTGCCTCAATTTACAACTTCAAACCAATCAAAAGGATTACCATCAACCATTTTCGAACCCTAGTTGACACTTCAATCTCGACGTTTCTTGTGTTCCACCTTCGGATTCTCCGTCACCAATAAGTGGAGCTTCACATTCGCCATATTATCCTATTCCATTTCTATTTTTTCATTTATGTAAGTTCATCGGAGAATTTTTGTTGGTACACATGTTGAAATCGAGCATTTTGCCCTAATTTCTGCATAAACGACCACGCCATTGCAGTGCTTGCTTTAAAGTTCGGACTCTCTATCGGGACTAAAGGTGAGCTCAATTATCGCTCTATTAACCTTTTCCATTTCAATCTTGCCCTAATATATTGCTGAGACTTTGCTTCATATTTTGAGAGATTGTCTGGTTGCTACTTCAGTATGGCGTAAGGCAATTCTGAGGAAAAGATGGGCTGCGTTTTATTCGCTGGAGTTGGAGCAATGGCTAATCGTAAATTTGACAAATGCATACCACTGTGAGGATGACTAGGAGCTGATGTTCGGCTTGACTCTATGCAGACTTTGGAATGCACGGTCGTATCTTCAAGAGCGAGTCATTCTGTGCTGCCCGAGTATTACGTGAAATTGCGTCTTGGAGGAGTACCGTATCCACAGCGATAGCGGTATTCTGCACATACCAAAAGAAGGCAAAAAATGCAATGCACATTTCTTTTACATATAACATACTACAGATATTCAATTTAATTTGTTATATACATATTTGCAAAGCTATATATAAATATATATATATATATATATATATATCTACTGAGTCCATTGCAAATGGAGCTGGAAGAGTCAATGTTGACAATTCTTCTGGCAT